GTCCTCTTTGTTTTTAGATCCTGAAAAACACTAAAGGAAGGATAGAATGGTGCTGAACACTAAAGTGATTTGGTTAATTTAAAAAAACTAAAAGGAAACTATGTTATATAAAGAACAAAGGGCAATGAACGAGAAGTAGCCTGAACTGTGTCTTTCCCAGACACACTAGATAGAGAACCATCAACATGTAACAGCATTGGGAATTGACTGATCAGAAATGAAAACATAGAAGACTCACCGGTCATATGATCACAGGCTCTGACGTTAATGACCGAAGGAGATGGCCTCTGAGACACAAAAAGTGCAAAAGTACTTGTGTTTGCAAGGGTAGCGGCGGGGGTGTAGAGGGATGAGTTGTTGGGTGCTGATCATTTTTCACAAGTTTATTGTATTCTTCACATGAGAGCAAATTGAATCACCAGTGGAAATGAGAACCTGGTGTTGATCATTGAAACCAGTCGGATGGATTTCATCACTCTTAGATACATAAATTACCTGATTAGCGCAAGCAGCCTTACAAAACTTATCCCAACACTTATCTGCCATGTGATTAGTACATCCACAATGAGTGCATTTCTTGTTACCACAATCTCTACCACGGTTTCCCCTGAATCATGACTACATCCTCTATTTCCACCACCACGACCTCTACCCCCATCACCTCTTCCCACCCATGTGGTCAAGACAAGCTGATCACCAAAACTGGTGGAAAATGGAGGCAATCCTTTGAAGATGAGAGTATATCTTATTAAGAGAGGAAAGTTCATCACTAGCTAAGATTTGCCTATGAATGGAGACTGATATTTAGGATAAAGACTGAACAAGAATTTTGCAACTCGAAAATCTTCTTGTTACTGCTTCAGTAGCTCCATATCATTTGATAAAGGCTGATACATATTTACCGCTTCCCATCAACCCCAAAAAGAACTTTAGTATTCACTAAGGCTTTTGTCACCTCGTTGTAAAGGAAAGATATTCTCTTAAAATTGGTAAACTCAAGAGATATTCTTATCCCAAGAATACATCTCACAGTCTCCCAAACCTCTTTGGAGTATCGAGAAAGATCACATAAGTACTCGCTTGGAGTCCATACTATTTCATAACCAGGTCATGGTTTGGTAGTTCTCCTAAAGCCATTCTTCAAACTTACTGTCTGATTCTTTTGGTCCATCTTCATTCAATAACTTCATTACACAAAACGAGGAGAATACTTTAGGAACCCCTAAAGCACTTAATTAAGTCTCATAAACCAAAAAAACCAGCACAAATAACAGGTAGAAGGTGAAGTACTTGTAGTTCACGGACTGTTCCACATAGATCTCCACAAGAGGACTGTTGCACAGACTTCCACAAGCCTCCTACTGCATTAGCCACATAGTTGGACAAATTTCAGCTACGATTGCTCTTTATTTTTCATATCCAAAACAAATCTTCAGGGCAAACACATATAACCATATTGGCTATGAACAAAAGGGAACAAAAAAGAGGTCTTCCTTATTAAAATCAGCTCAGAGAAATAGTTTTTCTTCCCCTACTACTGCTCAATTTAATGGAAAAAAAAGAAGAGAAAATAATTCAGATCTAAGGATCTGAATGTCTTGATACCACGTTAAGAATATGGTTCTAAAGAGTAAGAAGAGCGAGGTGAGACCATGACAGGAAGAGGAGAAAGTTAGAGAGAGATGGGAAACTGAGCAGAGGTGGTTGGAGGCAGTCACGTCAGTGTTACACAGCCTCCACGATCCTCTTATCTATATATATATATATATATAATATATTGTTTTCAATATATATATATATTTTTTAATATGTTGACTGTTTATCTTTATTTATATTAGGAAAAATTTTATATAAGGGCAAGGCTCTAAACAATCAAATTAAGGCACACCTCGAAAATTCACTAGAAGAGGTTGTTTTAATGCCTAAATATTCTCAAATTGATCATCTCAACCTCAAGATGTATGGACATGCAAAAAAAGAAGAATATCAAGTCTTGGAAACAGTGCATCTTGTAATGCATTTTTAGACCGTCAATTTTCAAGATTTTCAAATGTTCATAGATCTGCTCGATCTACACTATTTTTGAAGCTTTAAATTTTATATTTAGAGATGAAAATAAATTTTCAGGTCATCACAAAGATGTCCGGTTTTTGACACTATGTAAAGGCACGCCTTACTTTGATTGTTTAGAGCCTTGGCTCTATACAAACTACATCCTTTATATTAATAGCTTACATACGAAAGTCAATAATACATTTTTAAGTATTATAGTAATGTCCTAAAGGATTAAAAAAGGACAGAAATGGCCTATTGGCCTACAAACAGGACACATGATTAGAAGAACTAATCTTTAGTATAAGGAAATTCAGCAGAATTCTATGGCAGTGCCCGAATATAGTTGGCAAGGTGGGGTTTTACAATACAAAGGCCGTGTGGTATTGGCACCTACTTCATCTTGAAAACATTGGATACTAAGATGAGTTACGTAAGACGCCAACTATGAGGCATTCTGGATTCCTTGAAACATACAAGGGAATTTCGCAGTCTTTCTATAGGAAAGGGACACTAAAGAATTTGTGGCAGAGTGTGAAATTGGTCAGAGATAAAAAGGAGAACCACAGGCCACCTAGGATAACTACAGCCCCTCCCCATACCTAATCAAATATGAACTGATATTCTGATGGACTTCATTGATGGCCTACCCAACTCTCATGGAAAGTCCATAGTAGTTGCAGTTGATCGGTTGTGTAAGTATGCTCTCTTTTGTCCTCTTTCACACCCATTTACTACTATTGTCGCTGGCTACATGGAATCCATGCTCTATTGTGAGTAATCATGATGCTATTCTCGAGTAATTTTTTGCGCGAGCTGTTTAAGTTGCAGGGCTCTGAGTTAAAACTGAGTTCTGCCTACCACCCCAACCTGATAGGCAAAATGAAACAGTGAACAGATGAGATCTACTCGGTTTTTCACATCAAGTCAACCAAACTTCTCTTAGATGGCTTGTATTGGTTGAGTTGTGTTACAATACCACGCACCACCTTTCCACCAAAATGACACCATATGAACTTGTTTATGGGCAAGCCGCTCCATTTGTCATGTCTTACATATCTGGGACTGAACATATCTGGGAGTGAAGTATTCAAGCTGCACATTCATGATGACAAAGCCAAGGGCATATCATACCAACTTTGAAAGAAATTTAAGTTCAGCACTACATCGCATGAAAGAGTGGCAGATCAAAAGCACAGTTAAAGGGAGTTCCAAGTAGTTGATATGCCTTTCATGTGGTTACAACCATATGGCCAAACGTCTGCGGAGGTCCATGGACCAAGAAACTTGCACCTAAGTTTTATGGGCCATATAAGTTTATTGAACAAATTGGACATGTTGCTTACAAGTTAGAGCTACGAGAATCATCCAAGGTTCACCCTAAATTCATGTATCATGCTGTAATAAAGTAGTGGGGATGAGGGTCTGTGCAAACTGAGCTTCCTTCACACTCAAATGTGAGGGAATTGGAGTTGGAACCTGTTAACATAGAGCATCTGATGAACAAATTTCAAAATCTTGTCAGTACTGAGGTGCTGGTCCTCTAGAGGGGTGTGGAATCTGATAATGTTACATGGGAGTTATGGCACCTTGGTTTTGATGGTGGAATGGGCTGCTTGTTGGAAATTCTTTGAGTTTTGGATATTAGCTTTTAACCTAGATGAATTGGTGAGGGCCTGTTTAGAGGGTTGGAGCGTAGGAGCAATGGGGTGTGCGTGTTGTACAAAGGATTCCCTGTTTGAGTGATGAGGAGGTGAACAAATTGAATCATTTATTGGCTAACCCATGTGTCGTGTAAATACCGTATTTTTGTTATGGAGCTACCACTTCTTCGTAGCTTCAACCACACCCTGTGCAAGTTTGTTGGGATCTACTTCGCTAGAAATTACAATTAAATGTTGTGTGAGCCCCATAAACTCAGTATTAATTTTTAACTAATTCTTTCATTTCTAAATATAGAACTATGGATCTTCTTATGAGAATTTGGCTTAAGCTATCAGTGAGGTTGAAGTGCGATAAAGCGATTGTTGGTTGAGTACTCTAATGTTTGATGCCTGTGTTTGCTCTTCAACAAAGAAAATAAATGGATTCTTTCTTCAGAAAGTATTAGTGGCCTGAAACTAATATATTGGCATCTTTCTATTTGCTTATGAACCAATGTTTCTTTGACACTCATGTTAATTTGTTTTGAACAACCAGTTGTAGGGTATTATATTATCTCATTTGTTTCACTTCCATGATTGTTCCAATTGTTAATTTACATAGCTTGTACTTTCAAGGAACATTTCTTGCTATGCTATGTAACATATGAGGCCAGTTTTCCTTATTCTTGCAAACATATTTGTTTTCATGAAATGTAACATGCACAAAAATGAGTATTATTATACCTTCAGCTTTTTGTTCATAGTCCTGTTAACTATGTAATGCTTAGCACCAATTTTTTCTTCACCTTGCAAGTATATTTGTTTTCTTGAATAGTGACATGAAACATATAAATCTTACGATGGACACATGCTTGGTGGTGGTGTTCTAGATATTTGGAAAGTACTAGTTTCATCATGTCCAGTTCCATTTTCCATTAATCTCCTCCTCTTTTCTATTACTAGTCGAACCTCCCCACCCCAAAAATAAATTTGAATGAAAAACTATTCCAAAACAAGAAGTGATCCAAAATATAATTCCTTAAGAAAAATCCAATAAAAAAGATTGCTGCTGGTGATAAATCTTCAAGATTGTCATATGGAAAACACAAAGTGGTTCAATTGCCTGAGATTCTTTTTATTGGTCTGTAAAGGTCCCATAATCATTAGCATTGATCCTAATGCTTGTGTTTGAGTGTGGTGTATGTATGCATGTTTAAGTTCTTCTTAGTCTTTGAAGGTGTCACGAGTGTTTGGTCCTGATGTGTGTGCTTGAATGTGTGCCTGCATGTTGATGACCCCTTACAGAGGGTCCCAAAATCCGCAGATTGCTGCTGAAATTAGAGATGCTGCCTGTTCAGATCCTGTTCACCGAAAGCTTTTTGTGCGTGGATTGGCCTGGGATACCACCTCAGAAACCTTGTGTGATGTGAGTCTATTGCCTGATTGTGTGGTGTTTAGGAGAAACTTTAGGGAACTTGGATCAGAAAGTATACTATAGGCTAAAAACTTCGAAAGGAAAAGTTTTGTATACACTAAGAGATTTTAAAGTTTCATAATTCATTTGGGTCATCTCAGTTCAATGCATCAATGGACAATGATAGAGAGAAGAGTGGGGCCCACCCAATGAGGGCATGTCTGCAAAGTTGGGGATGATTCCCTCTCCATCACTATCTATCATTTCATTGGATGATGATTCAATGAGCTTGGTTTGTGTACATCTTGTTGTACAATGGTATACTTTCCGAGTTTCCCATCAGGCTTCCTGGACAGATTTGGATGGTTGATGGCTGATTAAATCTTGGATTCTCATCTGTCCTGCCAAAATTTGTTCATTAAATAAGCAGTTTATTTTCCAAAGTAACTTTTAATTAAAGGTAATAACGTTGGAAAGTTTGGTTAAAAATTGAATCTCAATTCAAACGTAAGAATCTTTAAAAGACGCAAATATGAAAAGGTAATTTTGTCTGGTTGTTTTAGTAGGGTTTAAATCGTCTTTCATGTGCAGTCGTTGAAAATGATTGTCTCTATAAATCTCTTTGAAAGCACAGTGAACACATGTCCACTGGTATATATAAAGGTTTGGGGTCTTACCTTTTGGTTCAGGCATTTCTGGTGTATGGAGAAATAGAGGAAGGTGCTGTCATAATGGACAAGGCAGCAGGAAAATCTCGTGGATTTGGGTTTGTGACTTATAAGGATATGGAGTCAGCTCAGAGGGCCTTGAAGGAACCCAGCAAGCTGATTGATGTAAGCGATATTAAAGTCCTCGTTGTTTCAATGGTTTTGTTCTTTTTCTCTTTAGAATTTCTGAGATTATTTTCTGGACAATAATCATTTGATTTGAGAACACAAGCAAAGAGCACAAAATGTACGAAGGTTAAATGTCTTCCGAACATGGCAACATTCTTAACTAGCAGTTTTTAAAAATTCAGAAGCTGCCATCTTAGCGGTGCCTTGCCCTCCTATAATAGGAAAAGATTTATGGTATTGTAGTTTTCCTTTTTACTCACTGTTTTGGTTATTTCATTTTATTCACTGAAGTTATAAAAAAACAATTCATTTGTTGGTGGATGATAAAGCATGCTTGTTTTTATTAAAATAGAACCTCTTTTCTTGTTCATTTCCAAGTTCAGGTGATTACTATTTTTTAATTGGAGCTAAGAGGACACCTATAGATCTCAATCATGTTTTGGTGGAAACTTTTAAGACAAGAGTTCCAAAACTTGGAATTTGGTATAATTTCTATTGAGACCAATTATCAACTTTCGCTGAAACTGGATTTTAATCAACTTTCCATTGAGGCCAATTTGAAAGATAGACATATGAGACATGGGTCCTTTTTGGTTGAATTTTCTATTCAGATTATGGTAAATATTCCCGAAACACTTTGTCCTTGAAAGAATAAAAGACGTTATCTTCTTGTTCATGTTATAATTTGTGAGAAATACACATTTTATTCTATTTCCCATAGAATCTTTTGTGTAATCAGCATCATGCAGTTATGAATTTATAAGCATAATATGATACCCTCTAAATTTCGTACCATGTCCTAAGTTCAGGAAAATCTCATTTTGTTTTTTGGTTCCTTTCCTTTCTATTTTTTATTTTTGCTTTAATTTTTTATGCTTGGACTAAGATCTTCCCTCTGTCAAAATGCTCCATTTCAGGGGCGTTTGACTGTTTGTAACTTGGCATGTGAAGGCTTAACTAGTGCTTCTGCAAGTACTGATCAAGCACAGAGGAAGCTCTATATTGGGGGCCTCTCAACTGATATTTCAAGCAAAACTCTGCTTAGTTGGTTCTCAAAGTACGGTGAGATAGAAGAAGGCTCTGTTGCTTATGACAAAGACACAAACAACTCACGGTATAAAACTGAACACTTTATCCAAGGTTTCTATGAAATAATGATGAGTTTATATGTAAGTGTGTCATGAATTCTACTTATAGTACTGAAACATGCAGAGGATTCGGCTTCATTACATTCAAGACAGTTGAGGCAGCTAAGAAGGCAATTGATGACCCAGCCAAGGTCCTAGAGGCAAGTGGATAAGTTTGGTCTTCGTTTTTTTCTTTTATACTCCTTGAATTATCAAGATTGTTGGGCTTGTAGAGGTGGCTTTTAGTTTGTTTTTTGTTTGAAAAGATTGACTTTTTCTTAATGGTTCTAAGACAAATTGGGGAGATTAGGGGGATGTTTAATATCATGAAAAGCAAGGGCGGACTGTTGATTGCCAATTACCACATGAAGTGAGCCCAACTCGAACACACCTTAGGTGCAATTGAAATTGACACTTTTTTAGTATACATAAATCCTTCAATAAAATTTGGGGAAGTTTTGGAAATTATGTAGAGAAAACATTTTATGCAGATTCATAGGTTACAATGAGGGATTGGGATTATTCAAGTTAGGATGCGCTTTTGCTATATATTTTATGGGCAAATTTTCAAGATAATTGGAAAATACTAGAAACTGCAAAAAAGTTCCTGAATTTGTAAGAACCTGCAGTGATCAGGAGCTCTTAAGGAAACTGGTTGAAAACTTCTCACCTGAACTCTATGGATTACTAGAGAGAGAAAGTATACTTCAAGTCCATCCTTGGGACAAACTATAGTTCATTTGGGTTATAACCATCCAATGACACATCTAGATTTCAAGTCACAAGTCCTAATCTAGACACTAGTCCAAAATTTGGACACATGTCTGGAACTTGAACATATCTATTGATCCATTAAATTAACTGTAGTTATATGGCAAAGTTATGCTTATGCATATAAGTTCTAAAATGTTCCACATATAGATACTTCTATTTAACCATATTATACAGATGTGTTGCATCATTCCTACTATTTTTAGGAGTCGTATCATGCTTGCATGTCTATGATGAACACTGACACATCAAACACGGTCGGTGAGGAGTTTCATGACTTTCACTACATAGGATGTAGTATATGACTGGAAGATAGTGTTGGGACGTGCCGTCTGGGGCATAGTTACTCGGACCTTCCACCCCAGGTGGGCAATTCCGCTTCGAAATCTCACTTTGGCTCTTCAATCAATGAATATCCATAGAATCCGGTTCTTTAAATTTAGAAATATCGCATCCACCTTTTAGGAATCTCAAACTAAGTTATTTGGAATCCAGAATTCATGACATTAGATCCCATGATTCATAGGTGCACCAAACCGTAATTTGATCAACATGGAATCTCGCTTCCAACTTTTAGGAATATCGATGAGTTATTTGGAATCCAAACATGAATTCCATAGCAGACCATGCTAATATGCTTTAAGAGGTCTCAGGTTCAAGGTAAACTTCGTTGTTCCCTAGTGGTAGAATGATTGTAAAAATATTATGGAATGCTTGGTATTGTTTAAATATAATTTGAAACTATTGGGGTTTTGTGACCTTTAAAGCTCGTGAGAACATGAAAAAAAAAATCGTAGTGGATTATGCACTTTAGTGGAGTGTGTGTGTTAGTTGATTGACCTAGGGTTGCTCTGATCATGTTCAAAACCCTTAGCCCTCTGGATATTGCACTACCATTGTGGGGTCCTAGAAGGTCATCCCTCATTAAGCTCAGAGAAATGCCCAGGGATGATTTGTAGGAGATGAGAGCTCCTTGGTCTCTTGTGTGTAGTTGAGGCTTGTGAGAAAAAGGGTTAGATCCTCAACAAACTTCAGCACGTCATGTACACATGATAACTGGATTCCAAGAAGTAACCTTGCAAAGGGAGACGTGTACATTTGCATTGAGAGAGTCTTCCTCGCACCATAGTGATGTGTGGGTATCACTTGCCCTTAAGGGGAGAGAACATATAGTTTACATTTTTGGATTGTGGTTCTACTATTTATTGGCCAGCTTTGGCGAATCGATCATGAACCTCTGCATGGGGCTGTGGCTCATGGGTCTTGTTGGGTTGGTTTGAGAAGATAGTCAAGGGATACATTTACTAGGTTAGGTGGAGTGCCTTGACTGTCACTTTTCTTGACGCATTAGTACCAATCCACTTCTAAAAATTTTGTTTTAAGCTTAAGGAATGTTTTTGCGATTTTTAGCAAAATTTTGGAATTTTTAAAATCTTTGTTAGCAATAAAAAACCCTAAAAGGGGTATTTTCATAATTTCTATTTTTGTTGGGACTGGGTCTGAGGCTGAGTGGGACCCAAATTGGGGGGCCAATGGGCCCAACTCCCACACGTGGGGGGCCACATGGAGTGGGACATGCTGCCCACTAAGGGCACATGCCCCACATGCTAATCGCGCCTTCCTTATTCCAAAATTGTGTCAATGTTAAAAGAGATTTTTTTTTGTTAGGGGAAATCTTGAGAAAATCTTTGAGAAATATTTTGTGAGAGTAGAGAATATTTTTTGTTCAGAAAATATTCTTTAGTCTTTGTATTTGACCAAATCTGAAACTTTGAATTCTACAATCTTTTTGTGAGGGAAAAGGACATTCTAGTCAAAATAGAAGATGAAAATTGTCCAAGTCTTATCCTAGGTTGACGAGAAGTGGATGTGACTCAAAGATTAAGGGGATAAGATTGTTAAGAGTCCTTGATCATGATGGCCGATCTAAGGAATGGATAGCTTAGATTTGTCTTTCACCTCATAGATTACCTAGAAGACCTATGGCCCAAAAGAATTCTAATTCAGATAGGCATATACCTGAACCCTTGAAAGCTATAAATAGAGGGTAGCCCTCCTCATTCTAACTACTTATTTCTTAGTGCTTTTCTCCTCTCTCCTATAGGATCATAGTGCGTCATCAGTCAGGTAATCGGTGTGGGGTGTATTAAGTCTTAAAGTTGACCTTAGGCAAAAAGTCGAATAAGTTTTTCTGGCTGTTCTTTGTTTATTATTTAGACATTATTGCATAATTTATTGCAATTTCTAGGAACATTATTTGTATTAGAATTCATAGATAAAGTTTTATTCAGCCCTTGGATTGAGTCATATTTTTTTGGTGGGTTGCATGTGGTATCCATGTTGGTTTTATCTCTTCTAATATTTAATTTTTGGAAAGTAGTAAAACCATAAAAAAATGTAAAAGTAACAAAGCTGCATATCATAAAGTAACAATCTAATGCTATTATATTAACTCTATAAGTTTTGTATTTTAGTCATATCTTATTTCATATCTACATGCAACACACGTAATGTAAATATTTATAATACAAAAAAATATTCCTTAAGAGCTTCCATAAAAATATCCATAATTATAATGTATCCATAATTAACATTTAATTCACAAATATCTACATTTTGGATTGAGTCACAATTTCTAGGAACATTATTGCATAATTTATATGTTTCTAATTTTAAAATTCCGATATTTACTTATTTTTATTATAATTTTATTAATATTAATGTAGTAATTCATGTATTACCATTTTCAAACGTGAATTTTCATATTATGAAAACTAATTTTCAAGTAATCTAAGTAAAGATATTTGTGAAGCTTGAAGGAGAAGAAAGTTGAAAAGGTTCACCGTGGAAAAACAAGGATGGATTTAACGTATATGGGAAAGAATATTGTAGGGGTTATCGGTTTTTTTACAAGGTGAATTTCTCCAATGTTCCAAGTTCAAGTTAAAATACTCCAATGTTCCAAGTTAAAGTTAAAATTAATAGCAAGCTCTTAATCCTTTAACTCTTCCAGTTTTCTGATTTAAAAGGGAAATATTACAATTAGCTCTTATCCAAGTTCAAATGGATCTTGAACTCTAGTTTTTTATTTTTTTGAGGATGATCTTGAACTTTTGAACTTGAACACTACAGTTTTTAATTTTTTTGAGGATGATCTTGAACACTAAAGTTTGAAAATTAAAGTTAAAATGGTATTTGGAATAAAGTATTTATATAAGGCATCTATGAAGGCCTATTCACATTCAAAACATGGGGCCTATTCACACAAATGAAGCATGTAATAGAAAGGGTATCTTCTACAACATAAAATGCAAATGCATGTTATTTTTTAATATTTATTTTAAAATATACAAATTTTATGTCCATACTTTTAAAAACACAAATTCTTTAAAGCTACAGATGATATGAAATATAGTTATATTTTAAATTTACAATTAAAAAATAATTAATAAACCAATTTAATTTGAGGATGTCTTTAGCAGTTATAACGTATTACTAATAAAGTAATAACAAAGTAATTACAATTTTTTCATGAATATCATAATTATAAATATTCCAATATGTATTTATTTTTATTACAATCTTATTAATATTAATATAGTAATTCATATATTATGGCAATAATAAGTATAATTTCATTAATTATAATTATGAAAATTATATAAAATTATTAAAATTAGAATTAAATATTATTAATATATTCAAATAATAAAAATAAAATTATATAAATTTGTTATAATTAATTTAAAATTAATATTATAATTTAAATTATCAAAGCTGCGTGAGCAAAGTGGGGATATGCAATTGGGACTTTATGTGATCGCCGCATACCAACAAAGCTGAAGGGCAAGTTCTATAGGTGTGATCGCCGTATACCAACAATGCTGAAGGGCAAGTTCTATAGAACAACTGTGAGACCAGTTTTGCTCTATGGGGCGGAATGTTGGGCAGACAAAAGACAATATACCCATAAAATGAGTGTAGCGAAGATGAGGACATTGAGATGGATGAGTGGCAAAACAAGAAGGGACAGAATTCGAAATAAATTCATTGGGGAAAATTTTAGTGTTACACCGATTGACGGTAAGATAAGATAGAGTAGACTTAGGTGGGCTGGCGGTATATGGCACTGACTCAGGACAACACTTGTTAGGCCGTGTGAGTTAGTTCAAGTGGAAGGATTGAAAGGGGCAAAGGGTAGTCCCAAAAGGATGTGGTTGGAAGTAGTCCGAAAAGATATGAGGACTTATGGCTTTATTGTAGTATAGAGGACTAGGATTCGTGTAACCAACCCCAATTAATTGGGAAAAGGTTATGATGATGATCATAATAATTTAAATTATTATCGTTAATTGCTTTATAATAATATTAGAATCAACATTAATAATGTGATCGTAATATTGTAATGAATATTAAAACAATTATGTCAATATAATTAGAGTTATAGATAAATAATATGAATATGTATTACCTGTAATGCACTTTTCCATTGGAAAATCATGTAATTATTTAGGTGATCGCTTTAACACATATCAATATATTATTCCATCGCATATTTACTAAATTATTTACATAAATGCTTGAAACATATCTACATACTCTTGATTACATATTTACGTAATTATTTATGTGATCGCTTATTTCTTTTCTACGTGCAACACCTGTAATCAAGAGGAAAAGAGATCACTCTTTTCTCTCTCTCTCTCTCTCTCTCTCTGTTTTTCCTCTCATCGTACTCTTTTCCTCTCTCTATGTCCCCTTGGCATATCTCTCTCCCTTTTAAATAGTATTAGGGGGAAATCCATTAAAGGGGCATGGGAGATTACTCTATTTAGCCGATTTAGTAAATTTCCACCATGATATATTTTTTTAGAATGTACCATGATTTAGAAAAAGAATTCTATGATTTAGAGGATTTAGCAAGTCTATTAAGGGAGCATATATAATAGTATTTTAAAGCTCATGTTTTCCATTATCGTATCTATCACAATAGGGATTTGCTAAAGTTTCTTTCCTATTAATTTAGGAAATATAAACGTTTAAAGTAATTTTAAATAAATTAATTAACATGCATTGTTTCTAGAGAGTAATTATTTTATTTTATTTTTTGTTTCTAGGACATTTACCCTACTTTATCTTTATGTATAGGATCCCATTTATTCTTGCGACACGTATCCACCCCTTAACTCTGGCTTAATAGTGTAGTATAGATAAGTAGCACTTTATTCAACGAGGAGGAGCATCTAAAAACTCTACTTACATTGAGATGCGTTTCTAGAATTCCTACGTAACGTCCTTCCTAAAGTTTGGAACCTAAAATAAATGTCTATTTTTATTCATTATTTATGATTCAAATAATTTTCCTTTCTTTATTCAATATAGAAACTCCAGTAAACCTCAACTCTAGTACTTAGGGAACTCTAGTTAAGTGTATTGATGACTAGATTCCCCTACTTATGAGGAACTATGATTAAGGGCACTGAATACATCGATTTCAATATTGAAGGAACCCTTATTTTCAGTCATTATTGCATAAGTTGTTGCAAGTTATAGAAACATTATTTATATTAGAATTCACAATTAAAGTTTATATTCAGCCCTTGGACTGAGTCATATTTATTTGGCAATAAAAAGAACGATCCAAGGTTGTATATAGTATTTAGTTTCTTATTTACAGTATTGTTTTGTGGCACTTGTAATGAAATACAGCTATATTAATAAAAGAAAAGAGAAAATTTGTTATTTTATTTCCTAGAATTCCACATAGTCACTTCTTTCAGAAACAAGGTGAACTTCATTATTCCATAGTGGGAGAATAATTGCAAAAATATTGTGGAATGCTTGGAATATTTAAACATTGTTTCAAAGAGATCGCTCTAGGAATCAGCAAAGAATCCCAGGGATTGAAACAGGATCCAAGCAAAATCATTGTTTCATTGATATAAATGTTTGTAATTGCATAAGGACATATAAGTTCCATAATATACTAACATGAACGTATACATTCAATACACCAAAGAGCTAAATACTTTGATGCACTCATATAGCACTCATGCATTTGCAGGACCCAGTGGCCACCATGATGCTAAAACTGTTTTGACTTTTTGATGGGCTTTAGGCTACGTTTGACGTGTTTTAGGGGCTTTCCGTGTTGAAAGGCACTCCTTGAATGACATTAGCTTGGCCCTGAGCCACCTTGCCCTCAGAGGACTGCTTTTGTCTTGGAGATAATGATCTTTTACCAAGGCCACCTGGTGACCTTCCACCATCTCCCAAGGACAGCCAATAAAATGCAAAAGATTACAAGGAATCACTGTACTTACTTAATAGTGATATAATGAAATGTTTCGAATTGATATGCCAAGGCTTCTTAAAATTTGTTGCAGGGGAGAGCCATTACGGTCAAGCTTGCAGATACGCAAAAAAACAAAGGACCAACACAGTTACCAGCTGCTGTTATTCCAGTGGCCTTTTCCCTTCCTCCTGGTTATCCCCCTGTAAATATAGCTGGAAAACCAGCTATTAATAGCTCTACACCTCCTCTTGGTTACTCTGGTTATCCAGCTGGTTTTCCAGCTTATCCCTCATATCCAAGTGCTGCTCCTCAGTACCCACAACCTGTAAATGCATCTTATGGACCAGTGGCTGGAAAACCACCACAGGTTGGTATGACTACTGGAGCGAATGCTGGAGTTGGTGCATACCCTTATTATGCCATGAAGAAATGAGGTTGGAGCTAATGCTAGTTGCTGGTTACCCCTATTATGCCATGAAGAAATGAGGTTCGTATGGCTAGCAATTTCATGGGCACCTTTATTATGTCATGCAGAATATCTCTCTTTCTGCTCATTAAACTACTTAATCTATTTTGCTTTGTGTATTTCTAACTTAGAAATTTAGGATTGTGTATTGGTTTTTATTTTTTGGGTGTGGGGTTAGAAGTGCTGAGTGTTTAATGTAACAAGAGGTTGCCATTTCTGGATTAGCCAACTTCTCTAGATTGGTTAATGGGTCTTACAACTTTGGCTTTGTTAACTTGTCCTGTAGTGCAACTTACAGTTTTGTACACTTTTTCTCTTTGAATCGAATGTCTCTTAAATGCAACTTTTGAAGTGCTTTGAAATCATTACTGGTTATCTACATATTGATTATTCTCTTTAAGCCTTTATTGTTTCAATTGACCATCCAAATACACCTTTGGCCTGGTCCACGCCTGGGTCCAAGCCTGGGCTTGGTTTCCATTTATAAATCACCATGTTTGCTCTCTGTTGTGTTTGCTGAATTTGGTCTCCTGCTAAATAAAAACAGTGTAGCATGTTACCATCTCTCGATCTCCCTCTCTCACACACACACTTGCACACAAACAAACTGATGATAAATAAACTGCACCTTGTATTCAGAGTTTCCATGCTACCCATGACATAAATGTCTAGAACTATCAGTAACCAGTAGAATAACTTTGCAAATTCATGCTGGCCATGACATGAATGACCAGATCAGTTTGAGATGAAACCTCTATGTATCCAGAGGACCAACAAGTTATCATCCCTCTATTCAAAGTCCTGCACAATTATCTCGCCTCTCTGTTAAGGTCCTGCACCAAAGCAAAAGCTCAACAGCAAGGTAAGCAAATACATGCCCAGCTAATCACATCAGGAGCCTCCTCCATAGACAAAGCTTGACAGTCTAAACTTGTGGGTTTATATGCCATCACTGGAAACCTCCATTACACTAAGTTGGTAGTCAGTCAAATGGAAAATCCAACTGTGTTTTCATGGAATTGGGTGATCGTGGCCTGTGCATGGTTTATTGTGAACTTGCTCTTGAAATCTTCTCACTTATGTAGAAAACAGAGGTTTTTCCGAACCAATTAACCTTCCCCCGTGTCCTCAAAACGTGCATTGGCATATTGGATATTCAGAAAGGCAAAGAAATTCATGGTTACATACTTTGAACTGGATTTTACCCCATTATTTCGATAGCAAATTCTCTGATCGATATGTATGGTAAATGCAACGAATTAGAGCTGGCAAGCAGGGTGTTTGATCAAATACATGAAAGAGATGTGGCCTCTTGGACCACAATAATTTGTGGGTTCCCTCAGAGTAATCAGCTTTGTCGAGCCTCACACCTTTTCAAGCAAATGAAAGAAACTGGTTTGGACCCAAATGATTTCACTTTAATGCTATGGTCACTAGTCACCGCCAAAATGGGAGCTTTTCGAAAGTGTTATAGATCATTCACAGCTTGAGAGCGAAGCAGGGGAGAGAAATAAGCTGGGTTAAGAGAAGAGGTAAGGAGGGCCAAGGTCCCGCCCTGGTTTTGTGGAATGCCATTATCTCAGCTCTCACTCAAAATGGCCGAGAAGGTGAACCTCTCAATCTCTTTTGAGAAATGATAGTTAGTGGGCCAGAACCCAATGCCATCACTATAGCCAATGTGCTTCCGGCTTGTGGGCTCGGTTTGTCTTCACATGAAGTAAAAGAAATTCATAACTGGGTCTGCAAAAGAGGCCTTTTGGATGTTGTTTTTTGTGAGGACCTCCCTCATCGATGTTTACTCAAAGTTAGGGTCTGTACGAGAAGCTAGGCTAGTTTTCGATCAAATTCGCAACAAGAAAACCATGGCCTTTAACACAATGATTGATTGTTATGGGAAGTATGATCTTCTTGATTTCTCTCTTTTCATTTTCGAGTTGATGATATAGAAAGGTTTGAGGCCAAATCATCTGACATTTACTTGCCTCCTCTCTGGTTGCAGCCATGGAGGTTTGGTAGAGAGAGGGCGGGAATTGTTCGATTCAATGAGAGAAAGACTATGGACTAGAGCCCAAAGGGGAGAGCATTATGCATGCATGGACAATCTTTTGGCAAGGGCACGGCATCTCTCAGAGGCTTATGAGCTTGCAAGGGATATGCCAAGTGAGATTGTGAATGAGTCAGTTATAGGGACTCTTTTCGGTGGGTGTAAAATTCATCCAAACATGGATTTGGCTGAGAAATTCAGGGAGAAAGTAGTATATGAAATCTGGAAGCTATGTTCTATTGTCGAATATATATATGGAGCTGCTGAAAAATGGGAAGGGGTTGAGGATGTGAGGAAGGTGATGAGCGAGATAGGGGTTCATAAAAGGCCTGGTTGTAGCTGGATTTAGAGGTGGGTAGCTATGGATGTTGGAATCCGTGGTTTCCCAATGTGGGTTCATTGATGCAAAAGGTGAGGACTACTTGTTATGCTCATGGTTTAAAGGTAAAGTATGTTTTAGAGCTTTAGTTTTATACAGCCTCACTTTTCATGAGACTCTGCAAATTGATCATCGACCTCGATAATTATGAATATGAAAAAAAATTATTTCAAATACTAAAAATTGTGTATCTTGTAGCACGTTTAAATTAGTGTGGAAAAACTCGAGCAGTCCAACACCGACTCGTTCGAGCATCCCAAAGTTGGCTGGTCTGACTCGGCTGTCTTAAAAAAAAATTAAAAAAATTAAAATTAAAAAAATTATTTGTAATATAACTTTTTTTTTTATGTTTTCTGTCATTTCGGCAATGATTGGAAAGTGTTTTGGCTATGAATATTTCTTTTTGGATTATTTCTAAAATACCTCGGGTCACGAATTGAAATCCATTATTTTACTATTTTTTGAACTTCATTTAGATACGTTTTGTTTAGTTTTATTTTAAACGTATTTTTTTTATTTTTGGAGATTGCTTTTGTATTTAGTTTTTTAGCACTTTTTGGCTTGGCCTTACTTTGCCCAACTTAGGCTGTGTAACTCGAATTCGAAGTTCACCACGTTTTGGATCATACATTTAGGTGTTCTTGAATTTGCGAATTTTGACTATTTTGGAGCTTTTCATATCATCATTATCATCGTCAAAACCCTTTTTTTAATTAATTGGGGTTGATTATACAAATCTTAAGCCGTCGTTCTCTTCTATTAAGGGTCATATCTTCAATAAAACCATAAGTCTTAATATCTTTTCTCACTATTTTCAACCATGTCTTTTTAAAGATAATTTTTGCCCTTTTGGAACCTTCCATTTGAATTGGCTCGTACCTCTTAATAGGTATTGTATTGGGTTTGAGTTATACATAACCAGTCCACCTAAGTCAATTTTTTCTCAGCTTATCGTTTATTGATGTCATGCCTAAATTCTTCTAAAAGCATTTATTTTGAATTTGATCACTTTTTGTCTCGCCTACTAGAGGTGCATTTCCTATCAATATTTTGGGGTGGGGCTTTATCAAACTATCGTAAATCCATAATCATAAGAAAACTACTCTCATTTCAATTTTCAGTGGACATTGTCTACGAGGCCAGCGATCACGCTGTTGGTTTCATTTGAGCCAAAAGATTTTCTGCTCCCTTGGGAGCCTACTGTGCGTTTACTCCCCCAAGCAAAACTCAAGTTTGGGACCCAATTACAAACCAAGGAACCAATCTCAAAGGAAAAAAAATAAAAGAATTTAATCACTCTCTCCAAGTGCCTCAAAAGAAAAAAAAAAAAAACTTTTGACTTGGGAGTTGTTGTAAAGTATGCTCCTGAGGGAGCGTGCTACATATTCACTTTGTTTAAAATGTTATGAAATTCAGCTGAGATACAATTTGGAATGTCACCTCCTCTCAAAGTTCGAGCATGTATCTCAACTAAAATTTCGCTGGACACCAAATTTGTGTAATAAAAAGAACTTAATTTTCACCAAAGGGGTATAAGTTTTTCTCAGAATTGTGGATTCATTTCTTTTCAAATTGGAACTCACAATATGCACCTCATTCCTTTTCCAGTGGTGCATGATTTTCTCATGCCATTTGTGTTCAAATACAGGCAAAAGATAGATGATCCTTCAAGTGAGGCCTCACCACCATTTCTTATTTCCATTTTGAGGATTCCATTTTTTCTCTCATTTTAAGGGATATACTGTATTTTTTCAGGAAAAGGCTACGAATGCAGGGGGGGTTTAATTTTATCTGAAACTTTCAGACAGTTTGCCTTCGAAGAGATCGAGAGATGTACTTTTTTGTTTTAGAATTGTACACAAGGTGAATCAAAGATTATGTTAAACCTTTTGCGATATTTACATATAAAAATTTTTTATATTTAAAAATGGTCGCATATATTCCATGTTTTACAATCCATTTCTTTTCTTTAGAACAAAAAGTGTAGTTTAATTTTATTTTTTTCTACAGATGATATTTCTGCACATGAAATTCAGCTGAAATATGGTATATCCATACTTTTTCATCATTATACACTAAATATTTTAAAAAATATTAAAATAAATAAAACTACCAAACTGCACCTATTCTATTTAGAGGTAGTTTGCTAATTTTTTGTTTTAATTTATTTTTTAAATATTTTGTCAGATTATAATGGTAAGAAGCATGTTACATGTACTACCAATTTTGAGCTCAATTTACTATATATAAAAAAAGAGATAAAATTAAAGTATGCTTTATGTTCTCAAAAAAGGGCTTGATTGTAAAATAAAGAATATATAAAACTACTTTTAAATATAAATATTAAATATAATTTATCTGTAAATTTCCCAGTTTTCAGATCCCTCAGTAAGTTTTTGGGGACTGCACTATCTATAGCTACTTAGCCGAGCTAGAAATAAAACCTTACTCTTTTTCTTTTTCTCTTTTGATGATTCAGGTGTACAATATATATTCAAGCACATTAGCTGTAGGGAAGTTTATCAAATTGTATCTAAGAGATGACCTATTTGATATTTTACCAAAAACATTTTAAATTAATTGAATGCCATTTAAATATACATATCATAAGTTGGAATGGCTGAAAATGAATAAAATATAAAATCGTTAGTAAGTTCAAGTGTATATTGATAAATTTTCTTTTTTCATTTGAGCTATAGATTCATCATCGTAGTCAAACGATATGCTCCAGCCAGAATATATAATCTGTTGTCAAAAAATTTAATAAGACCACCATTCATGAATACATTTAAGTTACATTCAGAAATCAAAACATAGCACCAATCAAGTATAGTTACAAGAACGTCAAATCCGGTGTAATTACAAAAGAAACAAGTCATGAAGAAATCCTCAAATATAGATCATTCCCTCAGATCAATTACAGTGACAAGAACCTATTCCTTAATGAGAATCATGTTGTAGCCGTTTTTTCACCGAGGGCAAACCTTGTGCCATTTATAGAGGGCTGAGTATTTTTTAGGGAAGTTTACCAATAAGAAATGGATAATTTAATACTTTCTATATATAATCATTTATTTTATAAATACTCAAACCATTTATTGGGCCGTGAAGCTATATAAATTTATCTGCTACATTGAAATTCACAACCAAATATCTGCTACATTGAAATTCACAACCAAATATCTATCCAACCATTGCATAAATTCCCCGACAAAGTGGTTTGCTTGAGGAGAATCTTTTCTATGATCACACCCGAAGCATATCATGCATGACCAGGCTCTATAAGATCCATTAGAATAAAAGCATGACATGATTCAGATTATGTTTTATCTATTTCACTAACCTATAATATAAAAAGGCATTCATTTCCCCTTCATTGATCCTCAATCTATGATACTATCAGAGTAAAACAATAGATCTTAAGGAAGAACATAGGTAAGACTTTATTAGTAACAAATAAATCCTTGTAAGAAAAGAAGATTAAAGATATTGTGGATTTATTTAGATACGGTGATTTCTATCCATAGTTCTAAAAACAGAGCTAGACCAAAGGCATGTTAAGATGATAAAATCTAACAATAATTTAGCCCGACCTATACTAATAAAATGGGATTATTAAAAGTCAATAACCAATTTGTTGGGCTTCAAATAGAACTATGAGAAATCTGAATACTTATCGCTTCAAAAAGAGAGGCTAATAAAATGAACTTTCTTATAACTGAACAAAATGTTAAATAGTTCTATGGGTGTTTTGATAAGTTTCCCAAATATTAATTGCCCATCTAAGTCAATATCCTCGCAAAAAACACCTTTATAATCATCTTATGACCTCTTGAAATCCATCTCCTGCTTTGACTATGAAATTTGAAGCTTCACAAATAACCGCATCTAAAATATTTTAATATATATATATATATATATATATATATATATATATATGAATTGCAAGTCCAAATAAGATATAAGTTGGACCATTTTTAGTACTTAAAAATCAAATTTTCTTTTCAACTCCGAGATCCTCATGACTTCAAGGAGGAGCTTACCACACTGTAGGTTTTCCAAGACCAAGTGCGGCCTTACCAAGCTGTGGCTTTACGAAAGTTTTTATTCCAATAACGAAAGCCCCCACTCTTGCTACTCACAATTCTGGCCTTGGCTTGCCAAGAACCCGAGTAAAGAAATTTCTCATGGAAACTATGCCATATTTTTGCATACCCAAATACAGATTCCCAACTCTAGTCATGAAACACAGGAAAATTGCATATAGTACTGATTACACATCGATGAAAATCTACAAATAAGTCACAAAAGATCAGCTAATTTGAGTCCTAGAAATGAAGCCAAGAAAACACCCACAAAACCCACACAATGTAGAGATCAATAACTTCCAAAAAAAAAACAACCACAATTCATTCAAACCATTACCAGTCAATGTCTTCTCACGACACCAACACAATCATCCTCTTTTCCATTTTTAAACAATGATCAAATCATGTTATCTACTTCGCGTAGAACAACAGTGTGAAACTCAAAACACCAAATAAGTACAAAAATCATCTATTTCTAACGATGGGCTCTCACATGATGGTGCACCTGCTCCTCTCTTCTGCAGGTGCTGGTGCTGGTGCAGTGTATCTACCTGATTCTGATGGGTTGTATGTGAATTCTGATGTGTCCAGTCCATACTGTACACAGCAATCAGGTTAAGAGACGGGATATTATAAATTGAAGAATATGCAGTGAGACCATTTATGTTTGGTAAAGCAAGGTCACAAGCATCTCGAGCTGTCTTACGTGAAATAGAGGGGCTGAAGGTGTACCGTTCACTGCAGCTGGGGTTGGGACCATTTACTGCACTGAAAGTCTGATAAAATATTCCATTTGCCTTTGGGCAAAGTAATCACATCCATTTGACATCCAACAACTTGGGGTGTTTGTGACATTTGTAACCGTAACAGTCTCATTCTATACAATCCCTAATAAAATTTTCTTATGCTACTACTAAATGACAATAAAAACACTCAGCTTTTTTTTTGTGACCCTAAAAAAATCAGTAGATGCTGAAAACACACTAGTCAGAATAACAACTCACCCTACAGTGCTCATAAAATAATATTCCTTCACAAGGGAACTCATCTGCAAACTCGCTTTGAAGTGGAATCCAAAGGCAAAAAAGAACTAACCAACACTCGTCTATGCAAATTATTTACTAATATATCCTGAATTCAAAGGGTTCTATTTAAGAACACAAAACCCATGCACCCACCCCTTATCATGATCAAAATTTTACGCTAAAAAGAAAGATATCGGAGCTCTTGGCCATCTGAGAAAAATATTTGGGGCGAGTGTAGTCAGCAAAAAATAAAAAGAATGGTCCATCACCTATTAGCATACCCACAAAGGGTTACCATGTGTGAAATTCGGAGGTTACTGAATTCTTAAAAGTAATAGCATGTTTTTAATAAACAAAACCAATGAAAACACAATATTATTTGGACCAACAAAAAGTGAGAAGGTATATAAAGAGCAATCAAAGGGAGCATTCAAAGGGAGCATTCAAAGGGAGCAATCAAAGGGAGCAATTCAAAGGGAGCATTCACTGTTCCTGATCACGGTTAGTGGAAATTAACTGTAGTGAGGAAGTGGATGCCCCAAGAAGTAACATATATACCAAAACCATTGAATTATGGTATACTCCTCATAAAGGGAAACACACACACACAGTCCAAGTTTTGAGTTTACCTTCTCTTTCATTCGGGTACTCCAAGCATCAGGTCTATTCTGCCTCTGGTCAGCAATATTTACAGGTATTCCGGTGGCTGGAGCACCTGCTCGAGAAATAAGGGGCTGGCGAGGTGCTATATACTCATCATCACTATCATATTCTGGTGGCATATTTGCTGCCCTAACTGCCAGAGCTAGTAAAAAAACCAAAGCCTGTGGACCAATAGAAACGACTCTCAATCAACAAGTTGAAACAAATTGATACACCACCATTAGGGAAAGAACAGTGTAGCCCAGTGACAATGAAAAAAACATAGGAATCTAACACAAAATGAATTCACAGGAATCTAACACAAAATGATGCCCCATGGTTTGCCCTCCTCTCTCTCCATCATGGTCCATTTCATTATGCAACAATGACTCTAACGGACTAACTCTATTGAACTAAGACCACTGGGTTATGGTATGATACCCCTTATTATAAAATGACAATCACTTTCTAAATTAATGGTTCAGATCAAGGGCCACACTTTCTCAAATATCAACTGTCTGTCCATACAAATCAAAATATGAATAATCTATTGAATTTATCACTTATGCTGTGTCAAGTGGAGGAGCACATAGGGATCAGCAACGGTTTTTGTTTACGATTGAAGAAAAAAATTTTATGGATTGTCTAGTAGTGGTACCTCCAAGATAACAGCTCCAAGAGCAACCCATTTGGCTATTTTCCAGTTCTCCTTCAAGAAATTGTATATCATATTGAAATCACCAGTTTTATCGTTGGGTATCTCCTGTCAAAGAAAGAGACTCATTAATAATGGAAATATTTCTTCTTTTCTTCTGCATTGAAAAATAGATATCTGGCATAACAAGATTTAAAAAAAAAAAAAGACTCATTAATAATGGAAATATTTCTTCTTTTCTTCTGCATTGAAAAATAGATATCTGGCATAACAAGATTTTTAAAAAAAAAAAAACCTACAGAGAAGAAAGAAACTATTCAGTGATTTTCCCAAGATATTGTAGCTTTTGGATTTTCCATTTGGAAGTCCGAAAAGTAATTCCTTCTTTTCCAAGGCAGATGATAATAAGGTAACGACAAAAAATCAAGTCCTTGTTCTTTGGAATGGTGAACCATCAAACCTTATATTCCCTTTCTTCCCTTTTACTTTTATTTACAGGGGAGAGAGAGAGAGAGAGAGAGTCAATTTTTGTTGAGAAGTCACATCAAGGAACTAGACGCAAAGAACTCACCTTTTCCCAGTTGTGATCAAAGAATATGAAAGCAGCAAGGCCTAGTTCAACCACGATCAACAACACCAACAATACAGAGTACTGATAGAACTTAAGGAAAATAATTTACTCATCCTGACAAACAGAATTAAGAAAAGTGAAGTATATGAAAACAGAAAAATGGTTTTTATCATTTGATGAGCAGTACACGAGGATACACAAGATAGACAGCAAATATTCCTGGTTGCAGCTCCTATACACCCGATGCAAGATATAACAAAGAGAATAGCTCCTATTGCAATGAATAAGTAAATGAACCTGCAAGAAGATGCCATAACTTGCAATCCATAATAAATTATAGAGCTACTTGTTATTTAACAGGAAATCAAGAGTTCCAATTTGCAAACCATTGAAGAAGAAAGACATGGAATGACACTCAAAATGAAGAAAGATATGGGAAATTGGTTTAGCACGACAACCCAAGACGGTCATCTCTGGTTGCTAAAAAAATAATATTAAAGAAGAATTGGTAGGGGCAGAAGCAAATTGGTAGAGGCAGAAGCAAACACAAAGAAGAATTGGTAGAGGCAGAAGCAAAATTCACATGTTAAGCCTTTTAGCCTAAACAAAAGAGACTTATTAACACAAACTTCTTTTTATTGGTTATCACCTACAAATTATCAAGGCTGACAGTCACCAAATCATTATCTGCAAGCTGTTTCATGAACCTTCTCCTAGGATCTCATTGTCCTGACTGAATGTAGTATATAACATTAATAACCCACTAACGGACCACAATACCATTGGAGGAAAGGATAGGAAGATTTTGCATCAATATGTTTAAAGCAGACAACCATCATGTAGTATCAACAAAAACATATCATATCAAGCTAGAGTACATTAAGTACAACTTAATGGAAGAGTAAACTAAGCTAGAATCAAAATTGTAATGAACCTCAGACTAAAAACACTTGGCATTGAGATATGGAGTACCACAGAGACTGAATTTGACTTCTTCCCATAACCCATGTGAATCTCTGTTTTTTAAGCTTGTGCCCGTCTTAATCCGTATACTCAAAGATACATATGGGATGTCCTAAAGGTGATTCTATGACTAGCACCGAGATAACCATTGTTCCTCAAGCTAATCACTTTTGTTAAAAAATGGGGTTCTCAAAGATCGATTTCTTCAGTACAATTCACATGAATACTTGCCTCTCAATCTAATCACTTGGTCCATTAGGAGGAGAAACCTAAGTGCTCATCAAATAGGACTGTACATCTCTTACACAATGACAGGGAATGATGCTGGGAGATGGAACTAGAGGAACATTCCAAGTTGCCAATCAAACAGAAACCATTATTATGCCGGGGAATGAGAATCATTTTTGAAGAAATAACCCTTTTTGGTGACGTATCTAACTTAGGAAAATAACTCATTTTAGTGACTTGACCTAGATAACTGATATCACTTGTTTGCCGAAACGACCCACATTACAGATGAATCTGAATATTTTTTGTTTATATTTTTCTTTTTATTGACATGCAACGAACTCCTAATCAAGACAACTTAAAAAAACTATATCAGCTACCTCGAATGGAATCCCACATGATTTCCATAAGATAAATGGCAACACTAACTTTACTCATAAACATATTTACGTACCCTAATAGGAACTAGAATATTCCAGAACATGATTAGGAAATTATTCTAGAGCCCATGACGAGCATGCAACCTATAGCAAACAAAAATTAAAAGAAAAGAAGAAATCCTGAAATTAAGCATAGCACCATCCCCCAATACACAAAACTCCGAAGCAAATGCATGGAAGTTGAAATACATACGTGATTCCCAATGTACCCATTAAAACTGTGAGACGATTGACAAGCACTTCAATGAAAAAACTTCAGAGTTACATGAATAATTTTCTGACTATATATACAGAAATATTTATTTACAGAAAAACTCTAAACTTTATGTTCCTTTGGTATGAAGAGAGCATACAGAACATCAAATAAGAACCAAATGTAAAGATCTAAAAGCCAACTTCTTTTCAAAACTAACATTCAAATTCAGCAAACAATCTTCTTACCAGGAAAAAATATCTAAGACATAATTAGAACAAAAAAGGCTCTTCTGTTATTCTAACAAACCCAACATAGAAATGTATCAGATGATCAGCTTGCCAGGAATAAATGTCTAAAACACAGTTAGAACCAAAACAACTCCTTTTCAACAAACCCAACATTGAGATTTAGTGAATTAATCTGTTTCCGAGGAATGAATTTCCAAATGCACAATTACAATACAGAAAAAACTCAATTTTTTCACAAACCCAACTCTGAGATTCAATGAATTACCGTCTTACCATGGTGTAGGAAGCTTGTCCCAAAAATTAGCTGACAAATACCCTGCATATATAAAGGGCCTAACCAATCTGAATTGCTCTGGTTCTGAACCATCCGAAATAGGAAAATCTGTATGACCGGAAGTAGATTTTTTCCATATGATCAGAAGGTAAACCCCATAACCCACCATGGCCAACCCAACAAGAGTTAGAAGAAAGTTCAGAAGCTTCAAAAGGCACTCGAAGAAGCCTTTGCAAGCCATTGTTTCTAGAGAGATAGATGGTAGAGAAGCTAATCCAAAACACAAAAAACCCTATAAACTCGATGTGGGGGTTGTAAAACCTGTGGGTTTTGGCAGCAGGAATCCTAAAGAGGGAGAGAAAGAGAGAGAGAGAGAGAGAGAGAGAGGAGGTACGTAAAGAAACAGTAGGAAGGTACGTTACTTAGTAGGTAAGTAAGACGACAACTACGTCGGTACGGACCAACTACGTCGGTCGGGTCGACGTAGTCGTACTTACGTTCGTAGT